TGTGTATGTGTAGGTGTATGTGTATGTGTATGTGTATGTGTATGTGTATGTGTATGTGTATGTGTATGTGTATGTGTATGTGTATGTGTATGTGTATGTGTATGTGTATGCCCAATTAGTCGCCAAGCTTTGTTATAACTGGGCGACTTAGGCTTCAGTTTGGCGTCGATTTGAGATCTGAATCGCGAGGAAGATTGGAAATCCATATGAATCGTCCAGATCTGTGATTAAAATAGTGAGATCGTAAGATTTATTGGTTCGCAATTTACGGAATTGTCCTATTCACGCGAGGGAGAATTCAATCTATAAGCTACACGACCCTTCAGTTTTGACGAAATTCCCTTCTGTTTTGACTAGCGATCGACTAGGCGACTCTTCTCATTTATTTAGTTTTGGAACTAAAACATCAGTATTAGGAAATCTACTTTGTATTTTTTAAAGTAACATATGTTATCTGTTCTTGTTTTCTACAAAGTATATGTTAAGTAATTATTTCATACTATATGCATTTACACTAGTACATATAAAATTAATTATATCATTGTATATGCTTTTACATTAGTACCTATAAAATTATTAAGGTCGCCAAAGCCCACTCGCCCAGGGGACGCCTAATCGCCTAGGCGATTGGAAGGTACTCTTGCGCCTAGCCTCGCCTAGCCGCCCTAACAACTATGGTGTGTGTGGGTGCGTATTGTTGAACTTTTCCCATCTCAATTTGCTCTCTAGCTTCCTTTTATGTTCATAAATTTTGTATCTTCACAAGCTTTGACACTTGTGAAACCCTGAACTACGTGTAGCTTTTGCTCTCTGTATTTCTCTGTTGCACGTTTGGAAGCGAACCTTTCTGCTATTAGCAGAATTGGTTGTGATCTTATAATGGTGTCAAAATAAGCGAAATATATAAATAAGCAAAACCAATATTTATACTATCATAACCAATCAAAAAAACCCCTTTATTCAATGGACGATACTCAATCGGTCAATCATATCCCACACTGTGAGTCAACTTACTTTTGAATTAAATTTCTAGTTTTGCTTAAATTGTTTTTTACTAGCGTCTTCCGGTGTTTAGGAATGAATCTTTGGTTGTGTTTTTATTTCCAACATGACTATTTAGATCAAGTACTCTTTACTCCGTATTTTTTTCCTGAATTTATGTCTAAATTTCTAATTTTTTAGTGCTTTGAAGTCCATTTGTTCTTGCAGTTATGTCAACTCCACAAGGATTTTTGAACACCTGGTTTGCCAGGCCTGATGTTTTTTGTTTGATCTGCAATGGTGTCACCTATTATATAGTAGTCTTATACATTTTTAAATTTAGTTAATTGGTTGTGTGACTTGTGACGTGTCATGACACCATATTTGTGCCATTGCAATTGCCATACCATCCCATCACAATGAATATCGCTATGCGCCATGACAACTATGAGTCTCGTATATCAACTTTCTCCCATGCCCGGAAATCTCGGCCAATCTATGTTCGTCCCTACTTCAGTTCCCTAGATTGGGATCTCGTTAATATCTGAATTCTGAACTCTAGCTGATCCCCGCCTCATCAGTCATGAATTGATCACTTGTTAGACTCAGGCAACCATTTTTAAAGATTGCAGAAATCACATCGTGTTCACCCACAAATGACCTTTATGTGTGTTTGTGCTCTAATGTATTAGTGTTGGCCGATTTGATTAGTAATATTTAGAGTAATGTTTTTTTAATTATTCGTTTATAACGTGAGGTATTCTATATATAGTTATCAATTCTAAGATATTATGTTCAAGAACCTCTATATTTGAGAAATATTCCATAATCAATCTTTTGTGGACTACATATGGAAAACATATTTGGGTCCAAAGGATTGATCATGCAGTAGCTCTCAAATATAGAGGACCATAAACATAATATCGTAGAATGGAGGACTATATATAGAAAATGCCTTTTTATAGAATTGCTCTAAAATTTATTGTTTTTATTATTATATTTCACATTTTCGTCATTAATTCAATTCCTGATAGCTATTGTGATAAAGTGCCACCTATGCTGTTATTTTATGTTATTAATATTTATAATAGAGTCAGGTCAGTTGTTTTATTTTAAATATGTTAGTGACTAAGTAGAAAATAATGTGTAAGTAGACTTAAATTCTAGGAGTAGTTGCTAAGTAATATTGTAGCGGGCCTAAAGTCTAGGGATAGTTGCTAGGTAATGTGGTAGTTGGCCTAAATTTTAAGAATTGGTGGCTTCTATAAAATTTGAGGCTCATTATTTGTACAAGTTATCCAGAAAGTAATTCAATATTTATTATTGGAGATTTTCCTTGGCTTTATTACTTATATGAGTTTAAGATTCTTGCTCATATTTTGATAAAGATTTTCATTTGTCTTTATTATTTTATGGAGTTAGATCCTGATTTCATAATTTGATAAAAGACTATTCTTAATTTATTTTCCCCACCAATCTCGAGTTCTATCATATTGTCTTGATTGTTTATACAAACGGTCTTTGGGTTGAAACTATTGTGAATTTTCATTGTCTTCCTTAGTGATTTGGAGTGGCATAAATAGATGTTTGTGTTTAAATTCAACATTTACACATACTGTATGCGTGTGCCTAATTACAAAATTTAAATATTAGGTCAATGTTGTGTGCTACATCTCCAAAAAGTTGTGAATTACCATATACGAGATATTCCTTTTTTTATCCAAAGAAATTATCTCCAGTGAGGATAAGAGCATTGGCTTCACTACCGGTGACTAATGGTCTCAAAGTTGAGTACACACCATGGTTGATTGTGGGATTAGGTAACCCTGGTAACAAGTATCATGGAACACGCCACAATGTAAATCTTTACGCTCTTCTTTTGTAGTTTGCCTACACTAATCTTCTCAATTGTGATGGTTTTATGCATTCCTTAAACTTGAAACATATTCAAAATTCTTCTTTGTTGTTGACTGATGTATTTTGTTAACAGGTTGGTTTTGAAATGATTGATCAGTTATCTCAAGAAGAGGGCATTTTGTTGAACACAATACAATCAAAAGCTTTGATTGGAATTGGTGACTACTTTTGCCCCCCCCCCCCCCAAAAAAAAAAAACAGAACATGATATAGCTTTATGATCAATGAAGGGTTTTTTATATTTTAATTATTATAGGTTCCATTGGAGAGGTACCAGTTGTCTTAGCCAAACCTCAGGCTTACATGAATTTCAGTGGAGAATCGGTTTGTTTTCAGTAACTTTTTTGTTCATATATAAGAATCCACTGCATTTGTTATCTAGCAGTTTTTTTACTGAGGATAATTGTTAAGTTGTGCTGAGTCTTATTTTAGAGAAATGATTAAAAACTGATTCACGGATGTAAATTTCTTGTTTCGTAGCTGGATGTGAATCCCTTGGGGTGCTACACGTTATGTAGTGATCCAAAGCCTCAATATCCAATGTGTGATACGTAATCACCATCCCTTTAAGACCACATTTGTGTCAACCCAAACGCCAACTCAAGAGTTGAGGGTTTAGCCAAGCCTTACATACTGCTTCGAGATCCCCCTAGGGATTGGCATTGGACTCATTGTTATTACTTCCGCATGGAAAGTGCCTCTAAACATATATTCCCTTTTAGATTTGCTAGTTCAAGATGTAGGGTTCTACAAAGTGTTATTATATGCATATTACTTGCACAGGTGCAGACTTTATACAACTCATTTTCCGTTCATGCGCTTCTCATTCATTTGGGGGGTACATATGTCTCATAGATAATGCGGGGAGAGAGAGGGTGTTACCTTGAAAATGCCAAGGAAAATCAAATAAGATTATATTTATTTAAATGTGCATGTTGTCTTTGTGTGTGGTTGTATGTAGTCCTTACCCCTACCCATAAAAGGTAGAGATGCTCTTTTTGAAAGATCCCCAGCTCGCAAGAACAAAAGACATTAACTAAAAGAATCCAAGTAAAAGTGAAGGTAAACCAATAGAAAAATGTGTGTGAGAGAGAGAGAATAAAGATGTACTACCATGAAAAATAATATGCTACTTTTCAAAAAGCCCACTATACGTAGCTATCTACTATTTTAGTAGACTCGCAACTACACATTGCTTAAGAAGGAAACACCTAGTAAGCCGACTACCTTACAACCCTAGACCCCCAAATTATCCTATCTTGTATTCTCCTTAGTGAGCTGTAGAATGCTCATGTCATGTCTAATCACCTCACCACAACTTTTCTTCAGTCTATCTGTACCCCTCTAATTTCCTAACAACAACCTAGATGAATCTCTTCTTTCCTATCATCTTTACTTAATATGTGAATTATCTAGAGATTAAGAGTCTATTTGGTTGAAAGGGAGGGGAGGGGAGGGGAAGGAATGAATGAGAGAGAATGGGAAGGGATGCAAAGGACTCCATTCACCTTGTTTTGTTGGGACGGGAAGGGAAGGTTTTATTTTCAATTTTTCTATATGTTTTGTTTTTCATTTTTAAAATTTAATTTTTATCTATTTTTAAAATTAGTACTAGTATTTTTAATTTTATTTTTATAAATTTATTATTATTTTTAATTTTTATTATTAATTATTTTATTATTTATTATTTTTTAATTTTTAATTTATTATATATTTACTTTTTTGTTTATTATTATATTGATTATGTATTACTTTAATTTTTAAGAATTATTTATTTATCTATTTTACTATTATAATTTATTATTATTATTATTATTATGAATTTTTACTCTGTTTTTTATATTATAATGATTTTTTATTTAATTTTTATTCTTATTATTAGTTTTTATTTTATTATTTTTAATTTTTAATAATTGTATATTTACTTATTTTATTATCAGTAATTTAGGTAATTATTTTTTGTTTTATAATAATTTATTTTGCTTTCTCATTATTTATATGTTTATTTTTGTTTTTGTTTTTACTTAATATTTCATTTATTTTTGTTTTATTTATGTTTTTTATTTTAATTTTTTATTATCTTTTTATTGACAAGGTGAAGAAAAAATTGACGGACGAAGTAGGACAGGAGGGAAGGTGAATCTATCCGATTTGGAAGGATTGATTTGGAGGGGAGGGGAAAGAATTGAAGGCAAAATTTTGGGTCCCCTCCCCTTCATGTTTTTAAAACCAAACAAGGGGATGGACTCAGATTCCCTTCTCTCCCCTCCAACCAAACAGACCCTAAGGCTAGGCCTGCCGTGGCAACGGAACAAGAGTGGAAAAATCAGAAGGATAGAAATAGAATTGCTGTAGTTTGTATTGCACTCCATATGGCACACATATATATCACACCATAGTTGATGTAGTTGTTTCTCATATTTTCCTCTTTTGGCTTCAGGTTTCTCTTCTTTAATCCGATTACGACAAAATATATGATTGTATTGGAGTTCATATTTAGACCTAAGTTTTCCTCGTAGCCACAAATACACACGTTTAAGTTTTATAATACAAGACAACATTATTGTAGACGAAAAGACACTATGATATATGAATTGTAAGAAGGATGCTCCTTACATTTTTACAATAATTTTTTTATGCAAGAAGGATGCTCCTTATTTTGTATGATGTAATTGCTTAGGTTGGACCACTTGCTGCATATTATCATGTACCGTTGCGACATATCGTACTGGTATGACTTGTATGATTGTTGGTTATTTTTGTATTGTTAAATAGATTGATTGTCCGAAGTGTGGCATTTTTTAGTGTAGGTAATTCAGTATTGTTATATATGGATTATCTGCATCATTTTATGACTTCTGATGAGTTTGGTTTCCTTTGTGAAGGTTCATGATGAGTTGAGTTTACCAAATGGTGTCTTGAGGCTTAAGCCTAAACGGGGATATGGCCAGCACAATGGGTACTGTTCATGGATATAAACATTTGGACACTCATTTGCTATGCAAACATCTGTTTTCTCTTTGTGTAAATCCATTGCAATATTAAAAACATTGCACTTTGCTTACTAACTAGCCTTAGGAGTCGAGATGAAGAAGACAAACTAATGTTACCAATGCAAGTTGTGTAGTGTGATCTCGGATTTAATTGGTGATGGATGATAGGGTGAAAAGTGTAATGGAGCATCTGGATGGCTGCTATCAATTCCCACGACTTTGCATAGGTTGGTCGGCCCATATTAGTTTCACAATATATAGACTACTTCGCTCGGTGAATAAATTATAGAAAATGCATGCAATTATGTAGGAATTGGAAACCCGCCTGGAACAATGGATATGAAGGCATTCCTCCTCCAGAAATTTAGTAAAACTGAACGCGAACAGGTCAGAAATTAGCAATGACTTTGGAGGGGAGGGAAGCTATTGCCACTCTCCTTCCTCCAACAAACCGAAAAGTGTAACATTAGAAACATTTCCTCCTTCCTTTCAAAACACCCCACTGTTCAAACCGAATACTCTCATGTGTTCGTTGGAATTGTTAATGTGCATAATAATAAGAGTCGTTTTGGCCATACATAATTATGAACAGGTGGACACTGCACTGAAAGAAGGGGTTGAGGCGGTGAGAATGCTGGTGTTGGAAGGGCACAGTAGCAGTTTGAGAAGATTTAACATTGGGCAGAAGTTCAAGTACCACAAAGTTTGATCCCATTATCATGGTGATGATGGAGGAAGCGTGAGTATGATATGGTCGTCGTATTTTGAGATTCCATCCAGGTTTTGTGCCTTTTAAGGGGTCGTTTACTAGAACTTATTTATCTCAAGTAAATTGAATGTTACTGAGCTGAACTTAATTGATTTTACTTAAATTGTACTTACAGATAATACTGAATTAGGTATCGAATTCTGGAAAAATTTTAAGTTCTTAAATTAAGTATTCCTCTTGCACCGTCTGGACTAATTATTACAAAGTATCTGAGTTATTAAGTAGGTATGAAGATGAGAAAGTATTTATAGAGAGGCTTCTTGCTCATCACCCTTATTCTGAAGACAATTGGTGTAGGCCTCGATTTGAGTATGGTATGTTTCCTACGAGCTCCCATAATAATACTGCTTTTCACTTCTCATGCTTGCCAAAAAAATAAAATAAAATGTTGATATTTTCAGTTATATTGTACTCCCTCCGTCCCATATTAAGTTGTTTGTTTATTATTCAGAGGGTCAAATTTTTTTTTCTTTCTCTATATTCGTTACTTATTTAATAAAATAATATAGTCATGTCACATCTTGTTTCGTAGAACTTTTGATGTAATTTTTTAATATTAAAAGTTTATTTTTTTAAAGAGATACTACCTCCGTCCCAAAAAGATTTATACGTTTTGACTAAAGATGAAATTAAGGGAGGGATAATTTTGTTTTGACTTTCCAAAAATACCCTTGCTGTGATGGATAAAAGTACGATGTGATGTGTAGATTATTAGGAAAAAGATGTGATGTGATAAGTCGAGTTTGAAAAAATAATGGGTATAGGTGGTTTTTTAATTGAAATGGGTAAGAGATTGTGGGACGCAATTTTTTGAAAGGTGTAAATCTTTTTACGACGGAGGGAGTATATTGTAACCAATCTATTTTTATTTATGTATAGATCGCAAAGGATGGTTAATCGAGGTACATGAATAATGTAAAATTTCAATGGTTTTAGATATTAAATTAGTGTAGCATGCAAAAGTTGAAGATTCCAAAAATAAAAGGTTAAGACGTTAAATGCATCATGCATGATCTAATAAGAGTAGGGCACACAAAAGTCTGTCATGGAATAAATATTAGGATTATGCTATGTACCCCAAGGTTTGTATCCCAATTTGTACCCCGCAGTTTTGCACCAACACTTTGTGTTGGTGTAAAACTAATTTTTGTTAAACGCACCAACATTTGTGTCCGTGTGAATATTTATTAACGCACCAACACTTGTGTCGGTGTAAACCATCGAAATGTTTGTGCAAGCCTGTGGTGTACAAATGGGGTATATTTTTTGGTGTAAGTGTAGCATGGTCCTAAATATTAAGGGCTTGTTTGGTTGGTGGTGAAAGAAAACGATGGGAACGAATAAGAACCGATACCGAATGTAGGGGTGAGCAAGTACCGAACCGATACCGAAATTTCCCGAAAAAACCGAGAATACCGAACCGAAAAATACCGAACCGAAAAAGTACCGAGAAGAAACCGAACCGTACCGAACCGAATGGTCGGTACGGTATTTGGGAACGGTACGAGGTGACGTACCATACCGAAAATCCCGAACTGAACATATATACTAAAATATTATAAAAAATAATAACCCGGAGTAATATTTTTCATATTCCTTCACTAAATAATACGGAGTAATTTTTTAAATAAAATTGGTTGAAGTTTTATCATGTGTAAGTTATACTTTTATTTGAGTTTTAGTTTTTGTGTATAAACATAAAAGTATTCACAAAGATTCGAAAAACCCTTTGTTGTCGTTCATTTTTTTAGTTTGTGAAATATAAACTATGTTTTGATATGCATCCCTTGCATTTAAATATTTATTTTTTTAATTTTTCACGTTTTTTTATTTAAATTCACTTTTAATTTTCAAAAATAAAGGGACATTGTTAAACTTTAAGGTGTAAAGTAGGTATGTATATTCATCCCGATTTATACCGAAATCGATAACGAACCATCCCGAACCATACCGAACTGATATGTCGGGATCGGGATTGGTACGGTGTAAAATCTCATACCGAACCGAAATGTTTGGTACGGTATCGGTACGGGCTAAATACCGTACCATACCGTACCATGCTCACCCCTATAAGAATGTATGCAACTAATGCAAGGGTTTTCTTTCACCTTGTTTGACAGGAGGGGAAGGAAACTTTAATCTTTAATTTTTTAATTACCTTTTCCTTTTTATTTATATATTATTTTCTTTATTATTTATTATTAATTACTAGGATTTGTTTTTATTTTTATCTTATTTTTTAATTTTAATTTTTCTTTTTAGTTGTTTTTTTGTTTTTTAAAATTTATAATTATTTATATTTATCTTCAATTTTTCTATTCTTATTATTATATTTATTGTTAAATACTTTTATTTTTAGTTTTATAATTTTTACTCTTATTATTATTATTATTATTATTATTTCTATTATTATTATTATTATTATTATTATTATTACTATTATTATTATTATTATTATTAACATTATTATTATTATTACTGCCTCCGTCCCAAATTGTAAGCAACATATCGAATGAGTACAAAATATCATCTCTTTTGAAATTATTTTATTTACAAATTGGTAGATAAAATAAAAATTAAAAATTACATCGTTCAAAAATAGGTCAAAATCTCTACAAAACAAGATGTGACAAGAATATTATATTTATCAAATGGTCAATCAAAATGAGTCAACAAACCAAAATTATCGAGAGACCAAAATAGTAAATGTTTTTACATTTTTGTCACGACTTGAACTTGAATGCATCTTAAGAATTATTTAATAGTTGTGTTATCGTGGTCCTTAAGTTTACATATGAAAATGTGTAATTTCTCATACTCCCTCTGTCCCATTTTATAACGTTTGATTCAGTTTACGATGTTTGATTGAAATTATTTTCAAATTATTTTATATAGTTAAAAAATAAAAATTACATATTAAAATACTACATCAAAAGATCTACAAAATTAGTAGAATAACATTTATTTTATCAAATTGTTAACGAAAATAGAGAAAGAAAGTGAATTAAGTTTGACCCTGTGAATTGTGAACATGCATTATAATTTAGGACGAAGGGTGTTTTTAGGGACTTGTAGTTGGATCTCCTTCGTTCTACAACTATTTTGGGCATGTTTGAAAATAATGTTAGAAGTTAGCATTAGTGTTTTGAAAATGCTATCGACTTGCAGCATTTATCATTGGTGCTTTCAAAATTAATCTGGATCGTTAACATTTTTCCAAAATCTTAACCCAAATCGAAAACGTTATTTCCAAACAAATCCTTTATGTCTCAAGGTCTATATAAATATCAATTGAATTTTGCAGGAAAAATATATCCATTTCCCTGATTTCTATTCAAAAATTAAAGTTACTTTTTTTTAGTTGTTATTAGATGTAGTTTATACTTTTTACTTTTCATTTTAGAAAATAAATATTTGGTTGTTTTGATTGTTTTTTTTGGTTAAATATATTTGCTATCTCTGGAAAATAGACGATCTTTGGTTTTTATTGATATAGATTTTTTTTATTTAAGTCATTCTTACAATTTTTTTATTTATTTGAAGATGGCCCTTAAACACTTAAGCATAATTAGCATTTTGAATTAGTTGAAATAAAAAATTTATTTCTAGTCTTGTAACTCTGATTATTTTGCACTACCAATAGTGTTTTACACATCCATTTTTTGATATCCACTCCAACCATATCTTCTATTTTTTTAAAATTTTTATTATAGAGTATAAAAGTTATGGTTATAGAGTATTAAGAAACAAAAAATTAGTGAATGAAAATATAATTAAAAATCAATAATGTGCTATAACATTTTAGTAAAAAAAATTATTTATAAAAGTAATTGAAAGAGTAATAATAATTTAATAACGGTTGGATATTATAAATAAATTATATAGGAAAAGAAAAACAAACAAAAATAATTATGCATTATTTTAGTAACAATTTCTTTTACAAGATGTGAATAGGATAGTGTATATATAGAAGTTGAGAATTGCATTTTGCACTATAGTGCATTATTTACACTATCCATTGGAGGGGTTAAAATATGTATATTGTAGTATATAAAGTGTATATTTAACAATATACACTTTTTACCTTCTCCATTAGAGATGCTCTTAGAGAGAATTCTCTTGTCTTATATTGTACTCTTATTCATATTACACTTTCAATTCTTAAATTTTTTTTAGAACATTATATAAAATTTGGAAATTTTTTATGTAATTTGATATACTCCCTCCGTCTCAATTTATAGTGTCTGTTTCGGTTTACGATGTTTAACTGAAATTATTTTCAAATCATTTTATATGATAAGTGATATAGAGTTAAAAAAAATTACATATAAAAATATTAATATATAGATCTACAAAACTAGTAGTGACAATAGTACTTTATTTTATCAAATTGCTTATGAAAATAGAGAAAGAAAGTGAATGAAGTTTGACCTTATAAATAGTGAACAAACATTATAATTTGGGACTGAAAGAGTAGGACTTACTTTAGGACATTTAAATCATGTCTTAGGTAATTAACACAAGACCAGAATATTGAATACGACATAAATGTAATGTCTCAACTCATTAGATGTGTTAGTTGTTAAGGATGGCATAAACAAAAAAATTTAAATGGACAAAAAAAGTACTTACATTTTAATTTAAATAGTTTGTTTTGATTTATAATGTTGAAGTTATTTTTAAATTATTTTATATGAAAAATGATGTAGTATTAAAAATTGAAAAATACATATTTAAAAATTACAATAATAGATCTACAAATTTAGTGGTGATATAACTTTATTATTTTATCAAATGATTAACGAAAATAAGAAAAGAGAGTGAATGAAGTTTGACTATGTCAATAGTAACATACAATTTAATTTGGGATGGAGAGAAAAATATACGGAGAATTTTACATGGACTAAAAACATATTTTACTTCTAAATAAATTTCAACTTAAACTTTTATCCTTTCAAAAAAACTAAAACTGAAACTTTTATGCTGTTGGGAGTTAAATTATACGGAGTATGAGGTGAGGGAGTGTGAGGAATTGAAAGTGTGTTCATAGATTCCACGCAAATGATACTCAGCTTTTGGCATAAACTCATACTCCCTCCGTCCCAAAAAGTCTTTCCTGTTTACTATTACGTTCTCTCGATAACTCTTATTTGTTTGCATGTTTTCATTGATCATTTTATAAAATAAAATATTCTTGTCACCTCTTAATTTGTAGAGTTTCTGATGTAGTTTTTAAATATAATTTTTTATGTGTTATTTCCTTACCAAATTGCAAGTAAAATCATTTCAAAATCCACGGGATTTTGCACGTCATTCAAAGTAGGAAATTCTTTTTGAGACGGAGGAGTATATCTTTATTTCCAAAAATAAATAAATAAAAAAACAGTATCTCCCCCATCCCCCACCCACCCACACGAAACTTTTGTCATTTTCTCGTAGTTCTATTTTATTGTTATAAAAATTTATTGGTGCAAGTGGAGGGGCTTTTTTTATCTCAAGTTTGTATGTACTTTTGAGTATTGTTTTTACTCTCGTTTGTATGAATCTATTATTTATAATTCAATAAAACTTATTGCGTATGCGATAAAGTAGTGTTGGACACGGTGCGGTTCTGGTCCAGTTGCAGAACAGGCGGTTCCGGCACAACATCCCAATGGAACCGTAAATGGAACCGCTGTAGCCGGTTCCTGAGCCGGTGGTTCCGGGTTCGTTTTTGGGCCAGTTCTTGGTTATTTTTTCTAAATCTAATACTTCCTCCGTCCCTGAAAGATTTTCTCTTATTGACTTTTTTGAAAATTAAGTGAAGAAAGTTGAATATTACAACTACATTTAATATCCTGACGGAACCGGTGATTCCGGTTCCCAAAAATAAAACCCGGAATTTGACTCGTGTCCACCGGTTCTTGGTCCAGTTCCCATACCCGCTTCCCCGTGTCCGTCTCCGGTCCGATTCCAGAACCACCGGTGGCAGTTCTTACCCGGAACCGTGGCCAGCCCTACGATAAAATAATTGTACTAAATGATGGGTAGTTTTTGTTTAAAAAAACAATATTTTAATAACATTTTAGCTATTCATAACTAAATCTAATAAATTTGTGTTAATATTTAACATGGAATATCAATTTTACTATTTTAGTTAATACATGGTCAAAACATGTCAATTTTAAATGCTGTGTTAAAATTAGACCGACACTCCAAGATGAAGGTAGTATTATGGATGCCTTAATGACCACCATCCTGGGTATATACTTCGTAGATTATCAAAGAACTTTTTTCAAAAAAAAATATATTATCTCAATACGGGTTTAGTCTTTTCATTTAAATTTTCTTATTTATCAAAGTTTTGTAAATTTTTATTTGGATATATGAAAAAATACATTGTGTTTTGAAATAAATACAATACTAATAGTTTCGTTTTGAAATATTGAAATTTATAGAATATATCCATGTATGAATATTGATATTAATAATCAAAAAGTTACATTGAAGTTTATGGAAAGTCAAAAAAGAAGATTAAATTCAGAGGAAGTATAGTTTAATTGAGTGGTGGGGTTGAAATTTTAACTTTTCAACCTTGTATTCAAAAGGGAGTTAACACTATGTTGACTATGTTTGTAATATTCAAAACTGTGTTTGTACCGGAGCTAATATTTGTCTAAATTAAAGCAATTGGTAAAAGTGTGAAAATTGTTGTGGAATTAATGAAAAAACTAAGAAAAACATGATCTTATTTTGGAAGTGATGAAATATTTCTCTTTTTCTAAAAAGATCTTGACCACTGCACACACTTTTAATAATCTTTTTAGTCTTCACCAACTAAGAATGATTTTTTAAGGACGTATATGGAGTGAAACATTAAAAAAAACTCAATCAGAGAAATGAAACATTATTGAAGGTAAAAGAAAGGGTCCATTTCATATAAAAAAGGAGATTGAGAAAGCTAGTGATGTAGGCACCAAATATGTTGGAAGAGAATCTTTTGGCCAGTCTAAGGTACCTCTTTTGTGATTCCAATAATTCACTTGATTTTCTTTTTATGAAGTTTTTTAATTTTATATTACTCCGGCAGTAGTCTTAAAATTAATTTTTTATTAGACTTTTCATTATCTTAATTATAATATTTTGACTATTAATATCTCTATTTATATACGGAGTATAAGTATATATGTTACTCACTCCGGTCTTAATTAAAAATCTTTCCTATTTTGACTTTTTTGGTCAAAGAGTGACACTTTCGACCATGAATTATGTAAAACATATATTTAATTATAATATAAATTCGACATAATTAGATTAATCTTAGAATATAGTTTTGACGTATCAAATTTTTATATCATTTATCAATTTAGATTATGTTTGATTTGTGGTCAAATAGTATCAATGTCTGACCAAAAAAATTCAAAACATGAAATGTTTTTAGGACCGGAGAAAATATAAAAATATAATATTTCAAAACTATGTTTCAAAATTAATTTATATATTAACATTAAATTTATATAAAAATTTAATATATTTTGTCTATAATGTACAGTCAAGGTTTAAAGACTAACAAATTAGTTTTAAGATGGAGGGGTCAAAGTTTAAAAATGTTTGACCGCTAATTTATTTATTTTTTTGGGAAGAGAGGCTTGTGTTAGGGTGGCCAAATGTGACTTTAAAATTGTCCCTTTTGTTTTCAATATTTGGATTTTTGCTCATGGTGGCCACGGCTCAAAGGGAAGGGGGCCAGCCACTATCGGAGTACAGTGTTTGATTAATCTAAGTATTAAAAAGGGTCAAAACAAGAAAGATTTTTCAGGTAGGGAGGAAGTAGATTTTTAATTAAATGAAGAAGTTATATCTTACAGAGTATTTCTTTAAAATAATAGTATTTTACTCCCTCTGTCCAACAATAAAGTTTCTTCATTATTCACATGATCAAAATTTATTCACTTAGTTGGCCTATTTTCCTCTCCTATTTAATAAAATAATATAGTCATGTTGCATCCAGTGTTGTAGACTTTTTCATGTAATTTTTAAATATGTAATATTTATTTTTTAATTCTATACCATTTTTCACATGAAATAATTTGAAAATAATAACTTCAATCGTACATCGTAACGCGCAACAGAAAATTTATTTATGGACAGAGATGAGGGAGTACTCCGTATATAATTGCATTAAAAACGGTTAGTCAAACATGATAAATTAAAGAATAAAGCTAAAAAAAATATACCAAAATAGTGTAACTCATTTATACACTGAGTTACACAGACACATTGCATGTGTGAATATAGTGGGTGTAAATCACACCCAGTATTCTTTTGGAATATATCTAGCATGTCCATGGATAAAAATGATGAAGTTTTGATGGAGTGAGCATGCATGCATTAGTTGTTAAAGAGAGAGGACAAGCTTGGGTAGTTGGGTCACGTTTGTCAAGAAATGACATGACACCAGTATATGATCAATAATTTGGCCATGAAATTAACCTCTTTACAACAACGTCTACACCACTATGTATATACCATTTGTTATACATGCACAAGTTGTAAATCAAAATCACACAAGTAGAAAATGGTACTGTGAACTTTTACAATTAGACTAAGGATCCGTTTGGTATATAGAATTGATGAAATTGGAATAGAATTGAAGTTGAAATTCCATGAGATTTAATTCCATAGAATTGAATTCACTAATTTCCATTCATTTTTTGCACTATCAATTCCAAATCCATATAATTTTTGTGCTATCAAACATCAGAATTAGAATTGAAGTCTTCAATTCCAATTCCATAGTTTGAATTTTGTGTACCAAACGGAGCCTAAAATTTTGGGTCGGTGGTGTACATCAAATAGTGTGCAAGTAACCTTATTCAAATATTTTTGGAATGTTATTAGAGAAAATTATTAGAATAATTAAGATAAAATCATTAGATTCATCAAAAAAATTAAAGATAAAAAACATTAGGCTCTCACTAAAACGGGGCTTCTCTTTATACTAGATGTAAAACTATTGTTAAATGTCAAAATTGTCATTCTATTAATTGAAAAACTACTTAAATAAGTAATTTTTATTTTAAAAATTTACATTTATCATTAAATAAATTAAAGTGTAAATAATTTCAACCAACCCTCCTTAACCAAAACGAAAAGAATATTTTAGATAAGAGTGTATATGTATATTGCGGGAAGGATTTTCTTTAGAATTGTTCTATTTTTCTAAAGACATTCTCACGCTTTCATGATGCCTTTTTTTTAACGGTGCCATAGGGAGAGTTTGACTGTTGGTTAGGGATGGCATATGGCAGGGTAACATGAGGCGGGCGAGCGGGCGCGCGTGTCTATTTATAGGGAGCGTGTTAGGATGGGAGCATGAGTCAGAGAGATTGGCAACAAGAGAGACGAAGAAGACGAAAGAAATAAGAGAGAACCCTGTCTCGCCTGAGAGGGTTGGAGAGGAGAGATGGGCGGCTGGGCAATCGCCGTGCACGGCGGAGCCGGAGTAGACCCTAACCTTCCCCTGGAGCGCCAACAACAGGCCAAGGCTCTCCTCACTCGCTGCCTCAATCTCGGCATCTCCGCCCTCCGCTCCTCCCTCCCGGCTATCGACGTCGTCGAGCTCGTCGTACGCTCCCATTCCCCCCCTCTCTCTCTCTTCTTTTTTTTTGCTGAGATTCAATTACGTCCACCCGTCTTCTTCCGCATTATTCGCAAAATACAGTAGATGCGGTTTCAATTCCTAGAGTTTCGGGTATGGTAGGAAACCGTTTAATGCAGTAATTTAATTAATTGGTTAATTAATTGTTTATCTCCTTTTCACACTTGTAAAAAAACAAGGTTCGAGAATTGGAAACGGATCCACTGTTCAACTCCGGCCGCGGATCTGCTCTGACGGAGAAAGGGACGGTGGAGATGGAGGCCAGCATCATGGACGGGAACGGCAGGCGATGCGGCGCCGTTTCAGGGATCACAGCAGTGAAGAACCCCATCTCCCTCGCCCGCCTCGTCATGGACAAGTCTCCTCACTCTTATTTGGCCTTCTCCGGCGCCGAGGAGTTCGCCAAGCAACAGGGAGTCGAAATGGTCGGCAACGACTACTTCGTCACCGAGGACAACGTCGGAATGTTGAAGCTCGCAAAGGAAGCCAAAGCCATTCTGGTCAGAACTTCAATCTCAACAGTTTTTGACGATCCTCGACGATTATTTGTGTTATGTGATGATTTGAATGCTGATTGAATTTCATCAATTTCACAGTTCGATTACCGGATTCCGCTTGAATCGACGTGCGGAGCGGCGGCGGAGAGCCCGATTCAGATGAACGGGCTTCCGATAAGCATATACGCGCCGGAGACGGTGGGGTGCGTGGTGGTGGACGGCGAGGGGAGGTGCGCCGCCGCGACGTCGACCGGCGGGCTGATGAACAAGATGACCGGGAGGATCGGCGACTCCCCGATCATCGGGGCCGGGACCTACGCGTGCGAGGTGTGCGGAGTGTCGTGCACCGGGGAAGGGGAGGCCATCCTGCGTGGGACCCTTGCACGTGACGTGGCGGCGCTAATGGAGTACAAGGGATTGGGCCTCCAGGAAGCGGTGGACCACGTGGTCCAGAAGAGGCTGGACCAAGGGAAGGCGGGCCTTATAGCTGTGTCCAATAAGGGGGAAGTGGCCTATGGGTTTAACTGTGTTGGGATGTTTAGAGGTTTTGCCACTGAAGATGGGTTCATGGAAGTTGGGATTTGGGACTGAATAAATTTTCTCATATTTATTTTTTGGGTGTCTTTTGTAATTTTCCTTTGTTGGTGGGTTTTGAATAAACTTAAACTTGTCCTCGATATAAAATAAAATTACGTTTGTTGTGCCTTTGTTAAATTACTGTCTTGTACTACCTATCGTGTCATGAAGTTATTTTCAACCTTATTCATTTTAAAATGAGAACAAAATTGAAAATTATAATTTATACGGAGTATATTTAGAAATTATATCAAAATTTTACGAAACAATTACAAATGTCTTGATTGGAAACCGATTGTGCTTTATCGGAACCCAATGAACAAAAGAAATTTAGATTTATATCTTTTTTTGAAATTCTTGAAATGTGATCTCACAGATTTAGGATTAATTTAATGCAAATCAGAAAACCTAATCTATCAAAATAATAAATCCCCTTTACCACAAAGTGTGTTACTCTCTATCAATATTGGTTGAAAATTTATTACTGTAAAATTTTAATTTTCCTCTAAATCGCAAAGATTAACAAGTATAGTACGAGCATTAAGTAGAACAATTGCATACCTGGACATAATCATCACGTTAACAATCCAGATAAAGGTAATTAAACATAAAAAGGCTAGGATTAATTAGTGATACTCAAACAAAAAATGTTTTGTTATTTTTTAAATATGCAGACCAAGTGCCTGCTTGTAGTCGTCGTCGTCGTCATATATACAAAAGAAGAGTTAAGAGATTAGGATTAAAATTAAGCAAAGGCATTTCTTCTTCTTCTCCTTGGTAACCAAAACCACCACAGCATTAGCAGGCAGAAGAGCCTTTAGCATCCACATAAGTGGAAGAGAAGAATGAGGTCTGGTTCTTCAGCAGGAACCTGCACATTTTGTTGCGCCAACAAAATGAAGAATGGAATATTAAAATCAATAATGCTAGAGGTACACCAAAATCGGGTGCCCCATTTGTACACCAAACAAAAACAAACACACACACACTTAATATTTGTGCATGCATACACTCAAGAAAACAGACACCAACAGACACTCGAAGAAAAAATCACTACGGTGTACCTCAGGAAATCCTGCAATTCCTGCCGAAGCACTGTTACTGTCTCCTCCTCGATATTTGCATGGCGCAACATTTCAGGCAACTTAACTGCCAAAAGAAATACATTGGACGAAAGGGCACCACATCAGAACAAAATATGGTCTTGTTTGTGCTCAGTGCTCACATGCATAAGGAGATGCAAAAAGAATGAACATAACATACCAAACAAGCGTAATAGATGCTCGGCGCCATACACAAACGAAGGATATGTGACGCCTGTGATTACTTCTTGGTACTGTTCACGCTCGTTCTTGTATAGCAGCAAAGCATACAGTGCTTTGTCGAAGTAGCGTTGCAACCCACTCAGAATTTCCCTTAGTGAATCTGATATCCTTTATCCACCAAACAAACAAATTGACAATCAAATAATAACATTTTTTGAAGTACCATGAGACCCTATTCCTTATAAAGATAGTAGTACCCCTAGTGCTATAAGTACTAAGTATCCACTTAGTAGAAAAATGAAATACTAACAAAACGTGCATAAACAGATTACCAAAAATAGGAAGGCACGATTGGAAGAACTTGAACTTACATTCCATCCTTCTGTAACCGATAGTCACTGTATTGGCTGAGCAGTCCATCCACAGTTGGAGAACGAGGAAGTAGAACAAGCTGCAGAATATGTTTATGCATGTAGTGTTTAAAGCTTAAATTTGGTGGAGTGAAAAAGGATCACTGGGTAATGACCGTTGCCTCCCCACTGAAATTACTAATAAACCTTGTAAAATGCACAAGGACAACAATAATAAACTATTACAGAAGGATCCTTTTCTTTCCCCTCTCGATCTTCCTAATTTTCCATTCTTAGGGTTACAGAAGGACAAGCCAAATAGCCAATGCACAAATTTGACTGCATATTGGGTACTCTATCAGGTTGTGAGTAAAGTAAACAGATGCCAAAGTCGAATATGATTGTCCTTTCCCCTCTTGATCTTCCTCATTTACCATTATTGGGGTTTCTTTAAAAAAATTAGGCTTCGTTATTGTGAAATATTAAGCTACCAGTGTTTCAATTCTTCTGGAATTGAACTCTAATTCCAAAATACGGAGTACTAAATATAGGAAAGCAAACAACGTAATCACTATTCATAGTGGGGTTGAAAACACTCGAGCCAAACACAGGAAAGTGTGCACAAAAAGGAATAGGAAACAAAGCTTAATGTAATAAGAACATGCATCTTGCTTACCTTGCCCAAATGCATAACGAATTCACAATCATCAACTAGCTGCTTCTTTAATTGATGTGGAATTTGAATGTTAAGAAGAAGCTTCTCTGAAGGTAGAACGCCTTTGTCCTGACAATGGTGATAAGACAAGCATTGCAGTGACAATGCGGAGCGGCTTCCATTGATTCTAAATTTAAATATTTGATAGAAACAAACTAGAAAACAAGCATTCTAGTGCCAGTTTGCATTATCTCAACTGGACCAAGTAAAACATTATTAACTGAATAAAGCAACACATTTTCAATAGAGGATTTACAGCTTTAGGATAGTCCTTATTGAGGCCTAACTCCTAAGGGCCATGACCAGTTTCCCCTTGAAGCATAAGCTCTCATTCCAAAATAGGCAGCAACCAAACAGATAATGTTGCATACAGCAACAATATTCAGAAAAAGAATGAGATAGTGGTTTAATTTACCTTTTGAACATCATTGCTCTTCCGCTTTTTGCCATGTGGGCCTGCCAAAAGTTTTTTTTGGTAAAACATTATGGGTCATAATAATGAAAAAGAATTCAAACAAATGAAGTTCAAAATGCCATTTTTATGAGTTTACTTGTTCACTTTCTAAAAAAACATCATTTTAAGAAATAAGTTTAAAATGTCAAAAAAAATTCAAATGAGTTTGTCACTCGTTAATGTCAGCAATGCTTATACCCATATGGCCATATCTCTAGAATATTTTAGACAATTCATCATAATTTCTTTATTGAACATCGAAAGTGGACAACAAATTCCAGACAAACGAAAACAAGAAAGTGGACAACTAAATAATTCAGACTGAGCGAGTAATTATAAAGGATGAACACCTAGTAGTTAAAACTTAATGGGATGAAGTTTAGTAGTCTAAAGTAAGCTGTTCTTTTTTGCTGCTAAAGCCACTTGAGCCCATAGGCCTATAACCGGACCCTATTGGGAGTGATAAACCTGTCTAGCTAAGGGAAGGGTCTTTGCTTTTTTTAAGTGTATGGAAAGTTACCCCAAAGACATGTTCAGCATGTGTGTCTTTGAATTTATGTCTTCACTTGTGATATTCAAGGGCTAATGGTGGTTCTTATGAAAGCCTTGCTGAAGGAGACTAGTCTCCTTCGAGAAGTACAACCTCCCCTCCATTCTCTTTGTCCCAAAATATGTGGGAATATTAGTTTTATATATGCTTTTTAGGGAAACAAAGAAAATGTGTTTGTACTTCCCAAAATAATCCATCAAGTGGGTCCCATAGTGTCATACGCTCTAAAAAGCTTGACAACAATAACAACAAACTCGGTAAAAAATTGCGGTGGAATGTGGGGAAGCTATTTCGTTAAGTGAGACGCAGACCACACCCCTAAGAGGGACTTAGAGAACCTATTTTGGTTCTAAAAGGTACAACAACAAGAACAACAACAACAAAGCCTTATCTCACTGGGTGGGGTCGGCTACATGGATCAAAAGATGCCATTGCGCCCTATCGTGTATCATTTCTGCTGTGAGATTGTTCGCGCGAAGGTCTCTCTTGATAAATGCTTGCCAAGTCCTCTTAGGTCTACCTCTTCCTCCAGCTACATGCATAGTCACCATTTGATCAACCCTTCTCACAGGATGTTCTATTGGTCTTCTCTCCACATGTCCAAACCACCTGAGACGAGTTTCCACTGTTTTTCTTACAATAGTTGTCACTCCAACTTTTGCTCTCATATCTTCATTCCTTATTCTATCCATACGCGTATGACCGCTCATCCAACGAAGCATCTTCATTTCCGCCACACTAACCTTGTGTTCATGTTCACCCTTTGCTGCCCAACACTTTGTCCCATACAATATAGCTGGTCTAATAGCAGAACGGTAAAATTTTCTCTTTAGTTTTAAAGGTACTTTTTTGTCACATATAAAGCCCGAAGCACTCCGCCATTTTGACCAACCTGTTTGAATTCTGTGATTAACATCATCTTCAGTTTCTCCATTGTCTTGAATGGTACACCGAAGATATTTAAATCTCTTTACTTGGGGTATAGTATTTTCTCCAACCTTCACTTCGATGTTACCCTCTCTCCTTTTGTTGCCAAACTTGCACTCCATATACTCTGTTTTAGTGCGACTTATACGCAAGCCATGCAACTCTAAAGCATGTCTCCACGAATCCAACTTCTCATTCAAATCCTCTCGTGATTCGCTCATAAAAGGATGATGTCATCGGCAAAAAGCATGCACCATGGTACAAATTCTTGGATATGCTCGGTAAGAACGTCCAATACTAGTGTAAAAAGATATCGGCTTAACGATGACCCTTGGTGTAATCCTACCCCGATGGATAATTCCCCTGCTATCCCAGTTTGACTTTTCACGCTCGTTGTAGCCCCCTCGTACATGTCTTTAATCGCACGAATATAAGCAATCCTTACTCCTTTTTTCTTTAGCACCTTCCACAAAACCTCTCTTGGTACCCTGTCATATGCCTTTTCCAAATCAATAAAAGCCATGTGTAGATCTTTCTTTTCATTTCGGTACCTCTCCATTATTCTTCTCACCAAGTATATAGCCTCTGTAGTCGATCTTCCAGGCATAAAAACAAATTGGTTCTCTAACACCAAAGTCTCTTGTCTCAACCTCCGTTCAACCACTCTCTCCCATAACTTCATCGTATGACTCATAAGTTTGATCCCTTTCTAGTTTCCACAACTTTGAATATCTCCCTTATTCTTGTAAATAGGAACAAAAATGCTCTTCCTCCATTTGTTAGGCATCTTCTTAGATCTTAAAATCTCGTTAAAAAGCTTAGTTAGCCACCAAATGCGTTTTCCTCCTAAACCTTTCCAAACTTCAATCGGAATGTTGGTTCTAAAAGGTACAAATAGAAAAAATAATCATTCTTTTAGAAGAGTAAAAACTAAAAGTCAATAATGTTTACATTTGGAAAATGAACATGGTTCTAAGATGGATAAAAGAAAAAGTATGACAAACAAAATAAGAGAGCATATTCTTTATTTTTGTGATTTTCTATAAAACCGGGTAAGGAATGCCTGCTTCCTAGGTAATACACATGACTTTGTGATTGACAGTTCCAGTCATTAAAAACAGAAAATAGCTAAAGTATTTCCTTATATAGTATCATTCAACTAAATGGCATTAAGGTGGTGATGTTGGACTAGTGGTGGTAATGAAAATCCCTAAAACGTTAAAGAATGCAAAAATACACACAAAAAATAAGGAGTCCACTAGAAATGCTCACATTTATGAAAGTATCCAGATGTACCCATATTACACAGAAACAAATTTGTCACAGCCCATACCAGTCCATCAAGTCTAGACTCAAACTTAACAAAGCCCATTCTGTTCCTTTCCTCATCAATGGCTCGACAGAGCCTGTTGTGCTTCAATCGACGCCTAAGATGGCTCGACGACCACTGATTATGACTCAACAAAGTCTGTAAACTCAACCAAGGCTGAGGTGGCACGATCATTATCAAAGGTGGTTCTATAGGGCCCGTAAAGACCCAATAGAGCTCCTAGTTGGCTCAATGAAGTCCGCTTTGGCTCTGCATAGTGTCAGGTGGCTGAACCAAGGCTAAGCATAGCCCATTTGGGCCAGCACTAATTGGGCTGGCTATACATGGCTCAGCCTACTACCACACCGTCCACACGGGTGCTGGTTCAACTAATTCGTTATGGGAGGAATATTTAAGCAAGTGTCAAGTATAAACTAGAAAAGTAGAATCCATCAATCCAAGACTAGTTCTTGTAGAAAAGGCCTTAAAGATCTGACACAGAGAAGAATGTTGAGAAATAGTTTAAGAAGCACATATGATGTCTAAAGAATAATCTATAAGATTTAGAAGATCAGGAGATATTCTCCCTTTGATCCCATGTAAGATGCAGTAGATAAGGAGGCAAAAATGATCCACACAGATCAGATATCATTCTCCTCACCCACTACAGATTTAGTGCTTTTTGTACACGTGATATCAGAGTGCAACACATGTCCCATACTCCCATTTATTCCACATTTCCACCAAAGC